TTTATGTTGTGTTGTTGTGTGTTGTGTTGTGTTTGTGTATGTTTGTGTTGGTGTTGTTGTTGTTGTTGGTGGTGGTGGTGGTGGTGGTGGTTGTTGTTGTTGGTGGTGGTGGTTGTTGTTGTTGTTGTTGTTGTTGTTGCTGTTGTTGTTTTGACGGCAGCGGTTGTGGTGTTGGTGGCGGCGGTGATGGTGGTGGTGGTGGTGGCGCTGCTGGTGTTGCTGGTGCTTCTGCAGGTGCTGGTGCTATCTGGTGCTGATCCTGCTGATGCTGCTGCTGGTGCTCGTGATGCTGCAGTTGCGGTTTAAATAGTCGGTGGGTTGATTGTTTGCAATGCTGGTGCGGGTGTTGGTGCCGCCGCAAATGCACAACCACAAGCACGAAATCGGGACACCGACAGCCACCAGGATTTCCACCACCATCACCGTCGAACCACATGCCAGCAACTCCAAACTACGTTTGACCCTTGCTTGCCTTCAAGATGCAACGGCAGCAGATCGCAAGAGGCACTGGGCGGAGACGAGGGTGCCGGTGCTCCTCACAGCCTACCGGGTTCCCGGAGGCAATAGCCTTAACCAGGACTTCGGGGTTTCATGGTGGCGTTCGGGCTTCCGGTCAATGAAGGTGCTCAGTTCGGGCTTCTCAGACGGATTGGCGGAAGAAAGATCCGAGCTTGTCTCATGAATCCTGTTCTAAATCCGCTTGGCAATTATCGTGACTGACATGTTGTGTTAAGACATAGGAAGACTTCGGGTGGAGCATTTTCTAGCTGACTTCGAAGCCGCTTGTATCCGTGGGACGGCAGCTTTGGCTACTGTGGTGGCACCGTTGTAGTCCCCCATATGGTTACAGCATAACAGCAGCAGCCTCTACCCCATTGGTTCTACAGGGCTTTCACTTACCGATCTAGAGAGAACGAGGAGTATCCGAGAAGGTTCGGCAACACTCTGGAGGGGGTCCAGCTCCAGTCGGGGAGCGTCACAAATGGGGTGACTTGAACCTCGGCTGATCGTGAAACGAAGCTGACTTGGAATTGATCGACACTCATGGTGAATTTAAAGTAAAGTCTTGCCGCGTCCGAGCAGTCGGACTTGGGGAAGTCTCTAATCCCCTTCGAGCGCTTTGCTCCTCCTGAAATTCCCTCGTTCCTTTCGAGCCTTGCGCTCCTCTGTCTGACAGTCTCTAATCTCTTTCGAGCGGTTTGCTCATCTCTTTCCTAGCCAGAAGACTGCAAGCTGGAGTTGTTAACGCCGCACCAGATTCTATTGAAGGGTCGCAAGAAGGTTTAAGGAGTGCGCGGTTCGAGTTTTCGAAGGACTCGTTGATGCCGTAGCCGCCGTAGCCACTCCGAGGTCTCGGCGAAACGCCGCAGACAGCTCGGGACCTGGTAGGTTTTGCAGAGTTTGGGTAGGGCTCACGAAATCTCACAAAGATTCGTGGTTTCGTTCCGCTGGTGCACCGAGGTGCAAACCTTCCTTGAGACGCTTGTGGGTACCGGAGGAGGTGCCGGCTTATGGGTCATCGAGGCGCGCAAGCTGTCGGGTTTTGGGCCGAAGCTACGGGACGCAAGCATGTTTTGATTTTGAGTAGTTTTTGCGCGGATGGGGCCATTCGAAATGGTGAGCCCCCACTCCCAAACCCGAGATTGCCCAATGTCAAGGCCTGAAAGTTGAAGTCGGGGGCTGAGGAGCAATCCCACGAACGGTGACGTTGAAACAAGTTCATCTTGTGCTACAGATCCGTATGTACATTTCGCAGCCAAACTGTTGCGGGTGATGCTGACAACGAGGTGGCAACAACCACGACGACGACGACAACAACAACAACAACGAAGAAAATACTGACCGTGTCATGCAGACAAGGAGTTGTGACATTTCAAACCGAGAGTCTTCAGATCTCTATCCATAGCGATAATCGTATTGCTGGCAGCCACTGCTGTAATCTTGGCCGGAGTCACAATCAGAAAGACCGCCTGCGCAACGATCGCAACCTCCTTAGCTGTTGCCGGCACCTTGCAGGCATGAGGTGTATACGATAATAATAATAGTAATAGCATAACAATAATAGTAGTAATAGGAGTAATAGCAATAGTAGTACTAATAATAGTATTGGCTGCAGTGGTCAAACCTTGGCCCAGCCGTGCCCCAGGAGGAGAATCCTCATTGCATCGAAGACGGCGCTTTCAATGCCGGCGCGGATCCAAGTTCTCCAGAGCCTGCTGCCACTGACGAGTCCGGGTATTGGGGGCCTCAGCATTTGAATTTGCAGGGCAGTGGTTTCAAATTTGGACCGGATGTGAACTTGCACCAGGTTTGCCGTCGCAGTCATACGGTTGATGGACAAAATCCTGCATGACCTTAATATAGTATAGTACCATAAATCCCATAGTTTAGGTATATAAGGTCATGCAGGATTTTGTCCATCAACAGTAGTTCCTGGTTCTCTGTGCTTCCTGCCGGGGCAGGGCATCTGGGCGGTGGCACCAGTGATTAGTAAGCAGCCCTGCCAAAAAGGAAGCCTGTGGGGCTTCAGGGCTCACGAGCGACGACAGATCCATAAACTCCGGCCGATCTTCGGCAAGTTTTTTCGACTTCCGCAAACCATCACGGTGGACGGGCTCAGACAGACTCGTTGGGCCCTTGTGCCCATAACCCCTTAGCCTAAGCCCCTTGCGTAGGTCCTGAAATCCCTCACCCCGTCTTGCCAGGCTACTTCGTCACTCTCGGATCACAGGGGGCGCTCCCTGTGCTTGCCGAGGAGACGCTGTTTTCCGTGTTGGGTTTGTTGCTTTGGCCTGTAGACTCTTGAAGTTTTGGGTTCGGTTTCGGATTCGGGTAGAGGGGTGTGTCGTGTGTGCAATATACGAATTACGCCGAAGCTGGAACCTAGATCTGTCTGGAATTGACTTGCCAACTGTGCATGCTTGTCTGCTTTACAGACGTTGCGGCGCTTCCTTCGTAGCTTGCCCATGTCGCCTGGGAATGGAGAGAATCGTCCACGGCCAAACTTTTCTGTTGCTTTGGAGGTGCTAGTGTTTTGTGAGCATGGGCGTAACAAGTTCGGTGCGGCGGCAATCACCCAGAGAAGCAGCGACAAAAGCATCGGAGTTCCCGAGAAGCCAGGCCTGCTCACTGGCAGTCACTAGGTGTATCCTATCGCAGCCCAGCGCGGCCAATCGTCCCGGTCAAACCCATGGACAATTCGAACAAGTTTTGATCGGGGCTTGTGAGGCCTGAATGTTTGGAATCGAGTTTTTGGGTATGATCTCTTTCAACCGTGACGACCGTAGCGACCAGGAGATGTACTGGCCTATCTTTCAGGCTTTGCAAAAGATTGGCCACCCGTTCGCCCCTCGGGTAGGCAGGCGGGAAACAGGAGGGGTGAGCTTTGTGGTTTTGAAGGAAGCTCGGACCTCGAGCCTTCTAGCTTTCAATTCGATCCCTTTGCTTGGAATGCGTTGCCTTGCTGGCCTTCCGAGAGCTCGCGCTTCGACTAGCCTGTCAGAATTACGTTCTGTGTCTCGTGCTGCACAGTGGCTGCAGGGCACTGCAGAGTATGTCATCGTGTTGGGGGTTTCCGGTCTGTATAGGGGCTCTGAAAAGCCCGGAAGCACACCGGGAGAGATAGGAGCCTGCAGCCACATCATCAACAGTGTAAGTAAAGTAAGCGCATAACCCGTATGAAATAAGTGTAGCAGAGGCGTAAAACCGGTTTTTTAACACGTGTAGCAAAGCTTGCCAGGCCCCCGTTGGTACTTTCGAGGCACAACACTTCTTTCGAGCCCATGCAAGAAGCACATGGTGTCTTGTGTGGAAACTTGGCTAGGCTCCCTCTTGTTGCAGCTCTTGCCGCCCCCGATTCCACAAAGTTTAGCCTAGAACAAGATGAAGAAACGTTCAGTTCAATTACGTAAATGGCCGCAGCATGCCAGCACTCGCTTTTTACGCGGACGAGTTGGAAGACGGTGTGAAAAAGTGTCAAAATGGCTTGATCATCCCGCTGCTGTTGAATCTGCACTTTCTTAATTCCGTTACACTGATTTTGAAATGTTGCCTGACACTTTCACCGTCTGCGCTCGCCCAACGCGTGCCTTTAGACACAAGTTGCAGCCTTGGCTGTGCATGCCTCGTTATTGCTTACGTTGAATTTTACCCTTTGTTGACATGTTATTGAAGTTCACCCTAGTGACACATGGGTGGCTGTCAAAATTATGGTCCCTTTTTGGGTCCTTATTATAATACGGCACCTATTATTTAGGGTACCCCACAAGGGACCATAATTTTGACAACTACCCACATACTTAACGTGGAGGAGACCCGGAGTGAACTTTAGAGCCACCTTCCGCAATACTCGCCCACCGGCCTCGGCCTGAAATCCCAACATGATGCTTTGGTCTGCGAAGGTAAGGGAAGGTCGTGCTTGCCCTTCTTTGTGGCGACAAGATTTTGCATCAAAGCCCTTCAATCTCCCTGAAACCTAAACCCTAGGCCCCTAAACCCCTAAACCCTAGTCCCCCAAACCCCTAAACCCCCAAACCTATAATCTCTTAACCCCGAAACCGCTAAACCCCCTAAGCCCCTAAATCCCTTCAGCCTGATCCTGGCTCCTTACCTGAAAGCTGCCTTTGGGACTTTCGGAGTTTCTGCCATGAGCCGCAGGCTACTTGGATCTGGACGATGAGCCCAGCCAGGCCTCCAGAATAATGGTAATACGGTTGATGGACAAAATCCTGCATGACCCTATATACCTAAACCACGGGATTTATGGTACTATACTATATTTGGGTCATGCAGAATTTGGTCCATCAACAGTAGTAAGAATAATACTAACAATTGTACTAGCAGCAAAGTTTATATTATTAGTAGCAGTAGCGGTAGTAATAGGAAATAGTCGTGGTAATCATACCGATCGTAATCAGCAATCATCATAATGATGGGAATGATAGTAGCAAGACTTAGTACTACTAACTATAGAAGTAGTAGTTTTAATCTTCGTAGTAAAAGTCATAAATGTCATACTAGTAATAATCGTATTAACTGTAACAATAGTAGTACAAGAAAGCAGTAACCTTTTTTTTTATAGAGACTGTAGTAATTGCAACAGTTTTAACAATTGTACTGCTTACAATACTTGTAATACAAGAACAAAGTAATTCCTATAAACATTGTACGAATTGTAATGAATGCTTGTAATAACTGTAATAATAGTAATGGTGGCATTTATCATAGTTATACAGGATCCGAGCGCCGCGAAGGCTGCATTGCTTGGCGGCACACCGGTCATTTGTGACGCCCGCCCCAGGGTTTCTAGCATTGTTCAACGTTTCTCTTGACGAACGTTAAAGCCGACCAGGGAGTCACGAATGACAGGTGGTTGAGCGGCTGAAAATGGAGACCCTTGCGTGGTTTTGGCGCATGCCGGCACATGCACCCGATTGTTTTGATCTTTAGAAAGGAAGATAGGGCATCACTAATGACTGTAATCAGGTTGCCCGAGACTGCAATATTTCCTGGGCGCGGTGCTCATTTTCAAGAAATCTTGCAATTCCCTAGGCGCAATGCGTTTTTCGCATGAAAATGTAATTTTGGATAGGGGCGGTGCAGTTTTTCTTTGAAGTCGTGTTTTCCCTTATGCGGGGTGTGTTTTTCGCACAACAACATGCTCGCTTCGTGACAGTGGCGCCGTCCGACTAGGCCTGTAAAAATGTTCATCCTAAAGTAGCATGTGTATATGTATATCGCAGAATATAAAGAATGAAATACAATATCAGCTAATATAATCACACAAGACAATATAATGGAATGTAAGACAATATACATATAACATAATTCAAAATAATATAGTCCAGTAAAATAAAATATTGTATATGTTATTGTAATGCAGTATTTGAGTATAACATCGCCTAGTATCATTTCATCCAACCTAACAATATAACATGGTAAGATAATATGATACAACAGAATTTGACCTAATAAAATGTACCATAATATATGATTAAACCCTAAACCCTAAAACGCTGAAGCCCGAAAGCCTTAAAGCCTTGACCCTACATCCCTAAAGCCTGCAACCCAAATCCTGCCCTATATATACTTCGTAATAGGCAGTGTGACAGATATATATATATATATATATATATGTATACACACTATCTGCTACATAACGTTAATATATTATATATAAAATGTAGCATGTACTATTTAGTCAACCGTGTATAAATACATAGCATCTACTATGCAACATATGATAGATAATACAAAATGTACCATGATATATGATGTTTTGTACGGAATATATAACATAGAAGATACGGTAAATAATATGACATGGTAGAATATTAGATTACATAAAATATATACTAGATGATACATACTCCATAATCCAAAGTTTGTAATATACAAGATATAATATAATAATTCATATACTACATATAACATGTACTATCTAATAAAACCCGCAACCCTGGACCCTTTTAGCGAAGATGAAAACCAAGGAACACGGAATCCAGCAGGAACATTTTACTGAAGACAACGACCCTATAAGGAGTGAATCCAGCAGGAACATTTTGACGAAGACACAAACCCGAAGGAGTGAATCCAGCAGGAACTTTTTTACCCAAGACGAAGACCCTACGGAGTGAATCCAGCAGGAACCTTGTACCGAAGACAAAAACCTTAAGGAGTGAATCCATCGGATGACGTAGGGAGTCACAGATGATTGTTGTTCTGGGCACTCGAATGCTCGAGAGCAAATACCAGCAAAAGCATCAGCAGTGATACTTGCGTTCAACACGCCTACATGGTGACGACGACGATGCTGATGCTTGTGACGGCGATGATCACTTTGGCCACAAGTGTTTGCTAGTATCCGGGGGTTAGTTCTTGATGTTGCTATTGATGTCATTATGACGTTATTTTTCAGTAGAAGCTTCATGATATCAGTTTTTTGCGTCATCATGTTTGTAGTTGTAGGTAGAAGCCGCGATGTGTCAACTCCGGTATTCAACATTGCCTTGACAATGTTGGCAAACTTACGACAACTCTTGTCCGAAGCCCTAGACCCAAGTTCTAAACCCATAGCTGCCCCCCTCGGCCAGGTGTCTCCGGAGAACCTGCCTCTTGGTTGGGGTTTCATTTTTGAGGTCATGACTCAAAGAGCTTCAGGGTTGCGGCGCTGTTGGGGCTTACGTGCTGTCCGGGAGCTTTGTCTGCTTTTACAGTTCATGATTCGGGGTTCGGGATTTCAAGCCTATTTACGTCTTTCGAGGTTTGTGGGACTCTACGACAGTGGGCATTGGCACTTCAAGACTGGGCTGGCAAATGCCCCGATTGGGAGCGTTAAGGTTGGATGTTACGCTGCATAGCACTTCCCCCCTTTTGTCGGACACATGCCTGCCCACAATGTTGAATGTGCTCAAATGTGCGCAGCATGTGATGCCCCGCTGCAGAGCAGAAAGCCTGAATCTATTCACGAAGCTATTCAGGTGATTCACAACTTGCGGTCTTCATCTTTTTGCAATTGGCACTAACAGTTGCTGTCGTTGCTCCGAAGAGATCATTGGTTGTCAGCCAGGCTTATCCCCAAAGCTTTTCCTTAAATCTAAGCGATGGTTGAAACCCAGGGGATGCTCGGGACTCCGCGACAAAGTGACGGAACGTAAAGCCGTGGGAGCCGACCCCCCGGCATGTCCTCCAAGAGCATATCCCGCGGATGCCCCAGGCCCTACAACTGAAAAACCTATGCAGTGCTCTTGCAAAGCCCTTCACATGTCCTGCACCTTAAAAGCCCTAAACTCTGAAATACAAACGGTGTTAAGCCCAGGAGCTTGCTCTCGGCTATCGCAGAGGCCTCGCTTTTTTTCAGCCCCACGCTCATTCACGATGATAAGATCGTAGTAACGGCGGCGAATGACGATAGACGAAGCACCTCCATACGGTTCTGGTGCTTCCAGACGTTGACAGCAAGCATTGACAAAGAGAGAGGAAGATTAGCAGCAAAGAGATGAGATAGGACGGCACCCCTGTATTCTAGATTAAATGTCATGCTCTTTTAGATACTTCTTGGTGTCGTCTTGTAGTTGTTTCCTCCCAACCCCTTATTTTCTGGAAGGGCCAATGCCATTAGGAGAATCTTTTGTTATTGTGACCGCGATCTCAGTCTGCAGGCAAATCTTGCTTCCTTCTTCTCCTGCATGAGCGTATCGGAGTAGCTGCATGTAGCTGCTCTCGCTGTAGTGTTCTCATGGTTCATGTTTGCTACTTTCGGTACCCATCCGAAGTTATTGTTATGATGAGTACTGCTGCCTCAATAGACATCAATCACCAACATCGTAATCATGACGATCACCAACACTGCACCATCACGACTGTCATTGTCGTTTTGTTGGTGCTGCACTCTTCTTGTGTTGTGGCTCGAGCGAAAAGCGTCGGCGCGGAAAATCTCCGTGGACGCTGGCACCTGGGCAGATGGATGCACTCGCATCCCCCAACCCCAAAGCCTACGCCAATGGAAACCATTGCCATTTCGGTGTTGAAACCTCACCCAGCAGTGTTGGTGACCCAAGTTTAGGCTTTGAGTACTGTTCCTGTCTGGGATGTCCAGTCTGGCATCCGGTTGGGTGGTCCTTGGGAATTTCGGTTCACCCCTAGAGTTTCCAGGCTTTGCTCGACCCTGAGATGTTCTCTTCCATTGGCCGTAGTGTCCGTGCTCGTCCTACCTTGGGCCCTGAGCATATGGGGGTTTCCGAAAATAGGGGGCCCTGATATAGTACCCTAAATAGTAGGATCCCTATTATAAGGACCCCCAAATAAGGTACCCCTTATTTTCGAAAACTCCCATTTTGCCCTGAAAGCTTCAAGTCGCACACTCCTTCAGCGGAGACGCAGGGTCCTGATGTCTTGATGCCATCCGATTCGTATGCTTGGCACAGCTTGCTCGGGCTTTCGCCCCTTGCATCCATAGAATGATGAAGCAGATAAACCGCGCATAGTGGTGAACATCAGGGGCGTATAGAAGAGCATTGCTTGCGTCTTCAAACTAGCTCAATGCCAGGGGCATGCATCACGTAAGCCCTGAACCTTTAATCCGAAAACCCTAAACCTTGAGCACTGCCGTAAACCCTCAGCCCTCAACACCCTAAACCCTAAACCCTAGCCCAGCTGAGGGGGCCCGCCATGTCCATCAGTTTGCGGCGTGCGTGGGCTCGCCTCGGACCGAGGATTGCAGGTCTGGTCAAGCTTGCAGTCTGCTACTGCGAAAACCACCACTGTTACTACTACCAATAACAACAACAACAACTACTACTACTACTACTACTACTACTACTGCTACTACCACTGCTACTTTGATTACGTTGCCATTGTCTTGAATGCACTGTTCTCGTTCTTGTTTGTAGTAGCATTCTGAAAGTGCGACTGGTTTCGAGGCTAGTTCAGGGGAGGGTTGATTCGCAGCAGCGGTGCTTTGCGCGACCCCGATCTCTCCACCCCTCAACCCCAGAAACAACCACAACAGAACAGTGATCGGTCGATCCGATACTGAACTCGGCCCACGCTTGTTCAGCCCCAGACTTTCCCAGCAGAACACCGAGCAAAGGCTTGCCGTGTGCGGTTTCTGCAAGCGGGCTTGCGCAGACGGTCGCACGCAGAGGCCGATTGCCGTTCTCAGCACTGTTCCTCGAATTTCCTCAACAAACTTGACCTGGAGTCTGATGAGGATGCCTCGCATGACCAGGTTCTTTTCCGCATACATGCTGCGATGCAGTGAGCAGAAGTGGGAGGAATACTGCAAGCCCCTGAATTCTTAGGCCGGAGCGTCAAAAAACCTAAACCCGCTACTGTTACGGGAACCCGAAAAGGAACACCAAAGCCACTGCAGAGGCCTTGCGCTGGGAGCTCCATCTGCTTCGAGTAGCTCCTTCTCGAAGGCTTCTGCAGGGCAGCGCAGACTCTACTACATTGCACTATATTCCTGTACTATATCCCTAAACCCTAAACTCTAAAAGCCAACCCCTAAAGGCGGCTCTCTAATGATGTGTCGCCTGCCAGGGCCGGCTGCGTACCGGCCGGGGGCCTCAGCGGAACCCTGCTGTTTTGACACACCAAGCTCGAATGGTGAATGAACGAAGGGCAACATAATACATAATGTATCACATATAATTTACACACACACACACACGTGTATGTATGTATGTATGTATGTATGTATGTATGTATGTATGTATGTATGTATGTATGTATGTATGTATGTCTGTGTTTTGGTATGAACGTATGTGTATGTGTATGTGTATGTGTATGTGTATGTGTATGTGTATGTGTATGTGTATGTGTATGTGTATGTGTATGTGTATGTGTATGTGTGTATGTATGTATTTATGTACGTATGTATGTATGATGTGTGCAGGTGTGTGTAAAGTATAAAGTACATACAACACATATATATATATATATATGTACACATGCATACAGAGTGTGACATCAAAGACATAACATAACATGGCATAACATAATCTAGCATCACATAATATAGTATATTATAGCACATCATAACATATCATCAGATCAAACAACACACTACAATATAATGTTAGTTTTTTGTATATATGTATATATGTACATATATGTATATATGTACATATATATATATATATATGTATGTATATGGTAACAATCAGCCAACCAATCAATCTATCTATCCATCCAGCCATCTACCTATCCGTCTATCCATCTACTTATGTATCTACCTTTGTCTATCTGTCTAGCTATCTATCTACCTGCCTATCTATCTATCTATCTATCCATCTATCTATCCATCTATCTATCTATCTATCTATCTATCTGTCTGTCTCTTTTTCTATCTATCTGTCCGTCTATCTATCTGTCTATCGATCTATCTATCTGTCTATCTATCTGTCTATTTATTTATCGATCTATCTACATAGAGGTATAGTATCTTATATACTTGTAACATATGGCACCTCGACGGCCCGAACCTCCTTGGCTTTTGTTTTTGCTGGTGATGACTGATGGTCATGCTGATGCTGCTGCTGATGACGATGATGATGATGATTGCGATGATAGCGGGTCGCTCCTGCTCCTGCTCCTGCTCGTGCTCCTGCTACTGCTGCAGCTGCTGCCGCAGCTGCCGCTGCTGCTGCTGCTGCTGCTGCTGCTTTTACTGTTACTGGAAAAGAGACAACAACAACAACAACTACCACTACTACTACTACTACGACGACGACGACGCCTGCTGCTGCTGCTGCTGCTACTACTACTACTGCTACTACTACTACTACTACTACTACTACTACTACTGGTACTACTATAACTACATGTACTACATGTACTACCAGTACTACAAGAACCACCAGTACTACTATTACTGCTAGTGCTACTATACTAGTAATACTCGTACTAATACTAGTGCTCGTACTAGTACTAGTACTAGCACTAGTACTAGTACTACTGTTGATGATGTAAATCCTGCATTACCTTAAGGACCCTAAACTAGGGGAATTAAGGTATATTCCTTATTATGGGTAACGCAGGATTTATAGCATCAACCGTGGTACTAGTACTGGTACTACTACTGCTACTACTACCACTACTACTACTACTACTACTACTACTACTACTACTACTACTACTACTCCTGCTGCTGCTGCTGCTGCTGCTGCTGCTGCTGCTACTGCTGCTACGACGACGACGACGAGGAGGAGGACGGCGACTTGCTCTCGCACCTGCTCCTGTCCCTGCTCCTGCTACTCCTCCTGCTCCTGATGATGTTCTTGATTTTGATAGTGCCCACGAGCGCAGTCACAACCGCCGCACATGGCTGATGCGCCGACCCCAGTCCATCCTCGTGCCTGAAGAGCCCTAGGTCGGGAGGAGTTTCGACCACGGTTTGGGCAGGTCCGCTTCTTCAGCAAGGCCGGGTTGGAGAAGAGGGCTCCGAACTGCAGAATGAGGGTCTACGACATGTGGTGAGAGTGCGTGTGCGCAAAACGGAATCTGGGGTTTGAAGCTTGTGGCAAAAAGAACTTGGGTTTTCACAGGTGGTGGGTCAGTGACTTACGTGTCTAAACTTTTTCTGCGAAGCCCAAAATCCCAAACCGAGAAGTGTATCCCTGCACGGATTGAAGCCACTTCCCTGCATGCCTGCTGGGTCGAATCTAGGGTGTTCAGGTCAGCGAGTTTCGGCTTTTCATGTTATCTTCTTTGGGCGCTGCGGGATTTCCCGCCCAGACCTTTCGGTCTTTAGTTTCGAGTCAAAACAGCCTGTCGAACGAGGAGCTGGAACTGAGCGTCCCAAATCCCAAGGTGACTCCCACTGCTGGCATTGCTCTTGTGCCTGCGATGTTGTTCGTTGCGGCTGTTGTTCAGAAGGAATCCCTAAACCGAAAGGTGTCAGGGTTTCCAAAAGTTCTCAAAACCGCATCCCTTAGGTGGATGTCCCCACACCCGCGTTGGGCGGGGAGAGCATCACCGAGGGAACTATTGCGGAGTGGACGGCCAAGGCGTTGTCAGATGCTTTTGTTGAGGGCTTGGGCCTCACGCTTTTGGGTTGGCGGTTCTTCTGATACTGAACTGCTAGCATGCTTTCTTCCGATGATTGTCGTTCGTATGCTGGTATTGTTAAGGTTTTCACTGGCAGTCTCATGAGTCGTCTCATTACTATGACAAAGATGATGTAGGGGCAACTTGAGAGGATCTCGTTCACTGTTGGTACAGGCTGGATGCCATCATGCTGGCAGTCAGAGCGGGTGCATCATGCACAGTTAGAGCTTCAGTTGTATGCAGCCATGCAGCACAGCTGCGTGTCGCTACTGATGGACGCAGAACGTCGAGGAAGGAAGGCTGGACAGGTAGAAAGTTAGATGGGCAGATGGAGGTGTAAACCCTAAATCCGGAACCCTAGACCCTAAACCCTCAGCAATAAGCGCTGAACTCCAAAGATAGTTCAGGATCCCTTCGGGATGAATGTGGTGGTCTGCCGGATTACCGGCATAATTTTGCTTTGGTCCCTGCAGTCGCAACGGAGTCGAAGCCAAAAGGGTGCTCAAGTCTTCGGGCCACAGCTATTCGGGTTAGACGCCCACTTTCCTACATCAGGATGTCAGGTCGTCGGCGCGGGGTCGCCTGGATGGGATCGGCTCTGGGGATGCGGGTAGGGAGGAGGTCAAGGGGAGGGGAACTTGTGGACTTTCAGTCGGGCCGAGGCGGAAAATCACCAACAGCGACTTCCAAAAAACGTTTAGCACCGAAGCCGATTTATCAATCATATCACTTCCCCCCTTCAGCCAACAGCTCTTTCGGCTTTTCGGGGTGCAAGCCGGCTGTTAAAGCGAGAGGGGTCCTAACCTTGCGCTCTTCTGCAGGTAGGTGAAGACGTGAAGAAGGACCAGGTGATTGCCACCATTGAGACCGACAAGGCTCGTTGGGAAGGTCTCAGAAGCGACTGCTCTGAACTCTGAGGCGCTTTATGAGTCCTCACAGAAAAATGAGAAGAGAAGAAGTTGACTGTTGGAAGCCTTGGCAAGGTCACAGTGGATGTCAAGGCGCCGCAAGATGGCCGGCTCCTGGAAATCAAGATCCAGGCCCACACTGAGAGAGGGTCTTTCTGGGTCCGGAAAAGAAGCTGCATGCTCAAGCCTTGGAGAAGTTCCGCATGCAGACGGGACACGGGAAAGTTGCTTCGTTGATGTGGCACTTGGTTCTGCGCTGGCACCACGACGACGACTACTACTACTGCTGCTACCCTGCTACTACACTGCTACTACTACTACTACTACTACTACTACTACCACTACTGCTGCTACTACCACCACTACCACTACTAC